TGGTTGAATTGAGGAATAACCAACCAATGCATAGTTCGGGCATACATAGTAATCACTTCGTGGTATGCCATAGAGGCCTTAAACGTTGAAGGACGAATCGGGATAACGACCACCGAAAAGTCCTACTTTGGGCATGTAGCTTTAATAGCTCAAATGATGAGATCGCTTTGGCAAAAATAAAGGGAGTTCATCATACTCAGAAGAAGGAAAAAACTTTCATTGTCAAAAAAAAAAAGAAAGAAGAAAAGAAAAATAACAAGTGCAGTGACCGAGCTAAACAGCTCGGTAAAGGTTTGATTATCATAGGGCACAACTGCTCGACCGAAAACTTGTGAAAGACCCGGTTTACGGCACCCGGAAGCCACCAGAAGCCCAGAGAAATGCCGCCTCAAGGATCCGCCTCATCCTCTGGAGAGTCAGGCTCCTCTTCCTCCGCTTGGTCCGCCGTCTCAGGAGACAGACCCTTCATAGTAATGCCGTCGAGGTTGAGTCCGGAGAACTTCTTCCGAACCAGCCACCGGCAAAGCTTAAACCCCGAGCGGTACGAACCCGAACCGTACTCCGCTTGGAGGTCCTGAAATTCCTGGGAGTCTTTAAATTCCCAGACCGCTTTCTCTCGCTCAGCCTCCACCATTTAATCAAAGTTTCGAGTCCGATTTAGAAGAGTGGACTCCAAGTCCCGCACCTGCTGCCTGAGGAGCTCCCTCTCCGCCGCCATCCTTGACGATTCCTCCCTGTAACGTGTGCTCTCTTCAGAAAGCCGGGCGATTTGAGCCTCCTTGTCGTGGACGAGCAGCTCCTGGGACTCGCTCCCCTTGCGGGTGTGATGGAGCTCGCCCCGGATCCGGTCGAGCTCGCTCTGGAGCTTCTGGTTGGCTGCCCGCTGGTCGAGGGCGTCGACGCGATGGATGCGCGTCTGGAGGGCCATGGCGTGGATGGCGGAATTTACCTATCGACGAAAAAAGATCAGAAGACAACGGAAAAGGGCAAAGCAAGAGAGAAAAAGGGAAAAAGGTCACTTACCACCATGCAATGGGCAGAAGCGAACGCGGAAAGGTCCCCGGGCTCCATGTTTCCCCACTGAGCGATCTCGTCATTAGTGATCGCCTTCCGGCTCCTCCGGCGAGCCACCAGATAATCGTTTACCCCTTCCCAGTTTCTCACCGGGAATCGGGGGTAAGGACGGGGCTGAAGGGGATTATAGGGAGCCTCCCCTGGCAGAGGGAGCTCGTTTCCCTCAGGGTTAATCCCACTAGCCCCCTCAGGTGGGGGCATCGGAACCTCGGGCGGAGGAGAGGGTAGAACCGCCTCAGCAGACCCGAACTCAGTACTTCCCGAAGGGGGGGTCCGGTCGGGGCGCGTCCTCTTTGCCTAGTGCCTCTGGCTGCCCGAGAGAAGGCGGCGTGAATCGGCACTGGACATGATGGCTGCCAAAAGACCACAAGATATCAGTCCGACAAGAAACAAAATACATGTGTACACAATATTGTCACAAGGCACTACACGACCTAAAAGGCCGACCTACCCGGGCTCAAGCCTGCTTGCACGAGCTTCTCCTCGGTCAAGTAGTCCGAGCAAAGGAAGCCTACCGACGCCCAGGACAGCATCGTTTTCCGAGTCTCAGGGTTCAGCTTGGCCCCGGGGTCCTGGATGGTGCCCCTCCAAGCAGTAGGGAAGGGCCACCCCTCGGGGTTACGGACCACAAAGTAATCCCACTTCCAGGCGGGAATCTTATTTGGTAGCTCGTACAAGAGCTTATAGCCGCGACGGGGAGAGAGGTAATAAAAGCGCCTCTCCGGAGGAACCCCAGGAGCAGCGTTCTTTATACAAAGAATAGAGACAAAAATATCAAGGTCTAAAGGAAGACAGTACTCGTGACACAGGGATATAGTCCCAACCATGTTTCGAATGGCGTTGGGATGAAGCTGGTCGATAGTGACGTTGAAGTGATTTAACACCTCCACTATCAACGGGTGCAGGGGGAGACGCAAGCTAGCCTCGAGTTGTTCCTGAAAGATTACTATGTCATTGGGACCACGCTCCCAAGGGAAGTTGCCGGTAGGGAGGCTGTAAACCAGGTCCCCAGGGAGGCGAAAGTAGCGGATCAGAGACCTAAGTCTCTCCGCTGTCATTAAGGAAGGGCCAAAGGTATCAGGCTCCCTCCCCCTAGAAGTAGACGCCATGTCGCCAGAGGCCTCCCGAGCCTCCGGGATCTACTCCCAGGCTCCCCCCGAGCTCGAGGGAGCATCATCATCTTGGCCATCGCCCCTGTGATAGGTATGGTATGGGTACCCGGACATGGCAGACAGCGATTGGGACTCACCAGAGCAGACGGAACGGAGCAGACTGAGGAACGCGAGTAGACTGAGGAACCCGAGGGGGCCCCCTATTTATAGTTTCCACCCTTTCAAATTGGCGGCCCAGATCAAGGCAGATCCAACGGTCCGCGGGTGCCCTGATCGCACGTCCTCTGAAAACCGAAAGCGATTGGCGGCTTAAGGAAGTCGCAGCCGCACGACGTTCGGAGTTAGAGGCCACCTCAGCACGTTTTTGGAATCCGAAAAGTCAGGGAAGTCAGAAGATCTCTTGATTCCCGCAAATGCATTTAATGAGGATAGTCAAGCAAGTTTGAATTTTAGTCATATCAGTCCATCGCACTTCATAAACTCCTCGCGCTAAGGCGGAACTCTTAGCTCGAGGAGTGGGGGGCAGTTGATGAAGGATGATTTGACCAACCTATGAAACGGCGACACGTAGACACTGACTCAGCATAAGCGACAACTCAGCATTGTGGCCCAGTACAACCAAGTAACGGGCCCATAAAACAGCTCGCTACATCGTAGCGCGCTAAAGGAGGAGCTCGCCACAACGCGAGCGCTGGATATCCGAGCTACCCCTAAAGGGATATTCCGAGGCAACTTTAGCTTGCGAGCTAAGAAAACCAGCTCGCCCGAGCTCCCAAGCAGACAAGTCATTCCGAGGACCAATTCTACTAAGGGTACTTTGGAGTATTCCGAGCTCGCTGCAAAGTAGGTCGCGAACGGGCCGCACGAGCATTCCTCAGGAAGCTTCTATCTGACAGGCCGTACTGATCAGACTGCGCCACGTCCCAAGCAGACAAGTCATTCCGAGGACCAATTCTACTAAGGGTACTTTGGAGTATTCCAAGCTCGCTGCAAAGTAGGTCGCGAACGGGCCGCACGAGCATTCCTCAGGAAGCTTCTATCTGACAGGCCGTACCGATCAGACTGCACCACGTCCCTTACTAACGGCGCAGTCCCTGTCCTTTTGACAGTCTGCACCCACGTCTCTCAGCAGGCGGAGGCGTGCCTGTCACTTTGGAGACGTGTCACTCACCTGGGCAGAGAGTACGCCACAAAGGCCACCTGCGCAGCCCTGGCAGGTAACGGCTGTGGCAGGGGCCTAGTGGCGGTTATGCTCGATCCCACAAGAGCGCCCCTATAAAAAGCCCTCTGGGCAGAAGAGAACCTTCTTCCTGAGACCTCTAATCTCTCGAATATAGTGATAAAGCGTGACCTACACTCTTAGCCTTCGTTTTTCCCCTCGGTTTCTGTACACAATACTAACTTAAGCATCGGAGTATTCCCACCGGGTAGAATCCCCGGGAATCCTTCTTTTCATCTTCTCAGGTGCCGTCCGTTGCAGACAAGGAGCCAGTCAGCAGCCAGCTAGGAGTGACCGGATTGCGCTACATCAATAATGTAGCCCACAAAGGATACTCCTTGAATGACATTAGGATCTCTCTTCCACCAAAAAATCTCTGATGTTTCCAGATTTTGGGATAGCCAAATCTGGTGCAAAATTCAGATTTTGCATTTAGAAGATTGACAACTTGAAGTGAGATGATTACATTTATTCTTCTGGATGTTGAAAGTTCAGATTTTGAACAAGTAAATGTATCTGTTTGTGTTGCCTTTGATTCTTTCTCAACCATTTCCATCATTGATGATTGCGCAATTTCTTCTGCATCTTCTTTTCATTTTTTCTGCAACTATGAATTTTCTGGATTATCAAATGTTTGTTACAACTGCAACTTCCACTTTTTGTAACTGTCATTCATCAATGAAAGATGTTTCATGTCCAAAAAGAAAAATGCATTGAAACAAGAAAAAGTTTTTTTTTTTTTTTAATGCAAAGTTTTCTAAAGATGAATGAAAAGAAGAGACAATGATGGGGTTTTTCTATATTGTAATGCAATCATATAGAGGTGGCCAGTTAATGTCATTTTTTTTCATAGAAAATTCCCAAGAAAATGAAATGCTAAAAATTTAGAGGGAGGTACCTCGAAATGTAATATTTTTAATTATCAATGCCCTTTTAGGTAATTTTACCTGCAAACCCTTAACCAATGCTGACGTTTATGAAAACTAAAATATAAACACTATGGCAATGGGGAATTGTCAATTTAAGCATTATAGCCAAAAGTAGAACTTCCACTTTTTCACCAAAATCTGGACATATCCTTTATGTTGCCCCTGTTTCTAGATAATGTGCTTCCATTGATCCAATCTGTGTGTAGGTTTAGGTATAGGCTTATGATGATGAAATATTAAACTGTGAAATCTGAAGATATGACCTCTCAGCCTTCTCAAAGTTTCTAGAAGCATCCAATCTTCTTCTTCTTCTTGCCTTTTTTTTTTTTTTTTTTTTCAGTCTTCCCTGTGTTATTTTGATCCTTCAACGTATGATAGAATGATTTGGATCGCCTCCTGTTTTAAATGGTTAGCTCATTCTAACTAACAGAGAAGGGTATGAACCTATGTTGCCCGGATACAGCAAGGATATTGCATTAACCTGTTTTGAAGTGTTCATGTACCCTCATGGGATGGGCCTACATTCATAAAAGCTGTTGCAAGAGAACTTTGCAGCTTCATTGCACAAATTTTAATATTTGTGTTATTTGAACAATCCCTTGTTTTTTCAATGACGTACCACTTTTTATTGGCATTATCTCATTCATGATTCTCTCATAACTGCAGATCTTTTACCTCACTTAATGAGGCAGCAAACAACATGGACATTCAACTGGCGTCTGACAGGTATTCTTATTGTAACAAGCACTACAATCTAGAGAACAATCATATATTAATTTGTGTATATAATTACATCACATTTCTTCTATTTTCACATTCAAATAGATTCTGCATCAACCATTTTGAATTTTTTATCCGCTTAGTTAAATCCTCCCAACCAGAGAAGATGCCAGCTAAGCTCTATTTGCACTAATAAAACATATTGGGTTATGAGGCATCTTCACACACTTACTGCCCTGGTGCCATACCAAAAGGAAAATTTCAAATGAGTAATTGTCATCTATGACAATACTCTACTCAACTCAGCCTTAGTCCCAACTGTTGGGAGTTAGCTACACAAATCCTGTCCCACCATCTACAGTAATTACCAAGGGGTGTTTATCAATAGGTATGATTTTTCTTTTCAAAACAAAAGCAATTGCTACATCAGCAAAAACAAAATCAAACATGATGGCAAGTGTCCCCTAAATCACCTCTGATAGTGTCATCATTGTATCTCATTATTAATTTGATAAGGTTATTAAATTGCCATGTTGGCAAAATTAAAAAGTGATACACAATTGTTGTCCTGAACACTGTCAGCATTTCTGCCTCTTTAAGAATAACTTCACTTGAAATAGGCAATCTAAAACACTATACTGACCTTGTATTGTGCTTCTGGTTTAAAACACTACACAGACAAGCACAAATTGAAGCAGCTCTGTTTAATATTATGTTGCATCATTAGTTCACTTCAACTTAGCTAATTTATTGTGCTTCCTTTTCCTTTCACTACATCTTGCTGTTCCTATTTAGCAATTCTAGTAAATAGCAGTCAGTGGAGAAATCAATAGTTTTGTTGATAATGGATACAAATTGGACCAAGGAGGAAAACAGTGACATGCAAAAATATTGTTCTTACCAGCTCTTTAAAAAAAAATCTTGTGGAAGTAGAATGAGTTATCCAGGACAAAGCGTGCACTGGCCAGATGCAGCATGTGTCACAGTTGGCACATGTTAAAAAATTATGGAACTATATCCTGCAGCGTCATCATTATTGGTTCTCTTCTACGACCTAGTCAAGTTGACTTAGATAAATTCTGATTCAATCAGCAAAATTATCTTTGCTTGTTTGCAATGATGGCATGAGACTGTATTACTTTGTGCAGGATTTTCTGTCTTAAAACTTGGGTTTCTTGATTTGAATTATAACTAGTTTCATTCTTCTGAGTCTGCTCCATAAGCTTCATTATCACAAGAACATTAACTTATCATGTACATCTCTTACCTAATATCTGTTTAACTCATTGTTATTGTGCAGACAGAAGGTGGCAGATGAACTCATGGGTACCATGTACTCTCTTGACAAATTTGAGCAGTCTGTAAGAGATTGCCTTGAAATCTGATCATTTACTCTTTCCTTCCCTAAAAAGAATTTTCAGCATATTTTGTGCCTTGAAGGTGTCACAGATGCCAATCTACAATGTCAATGGAGTATTTGTGGAAGGTTCTCCTTCACTCACAAACCTTTTTGTATCATCATGCCCAGTGTAATTTATAATTAAGTCACTGCTGCTGCAGAGTCCTACTTGTTCGGTTGTTCCATTCTTCTGTTTGTTTTTCCTTCTTTTATGCGCAATATTTATCACTTTATTGAAAAGAACTCAGTGTTGGTTATTCATCCTGTAGTAGGTATGGTTTGCCATTTTGTATTTGTTTCTTTTGCATTCTTATTATGGTGATCAAGATACAGCTGCATGAATTAACTTTCCCTTTACCATTGGCCATTTCAGAGATTTGTCTTACATGACTGAATGCATGTAAGACCCTCCTGGTGCCTTTTTCGGGTACATTATGCTCATTCTCAAGTTTAAGTACAATGCCTATATGAATTGCAAATTGGTGGAGATCCCTCAGCCTCAAGTTCAACTTTGAGGGGCCATTACTTGGTGAAATGGTAAAATTTCAGGCTAACAAGCATGAGAACACAAGACTGGGATCTGAGAGCAGTCACTTTGTGAACAATGGCCAAAGATAAGGTGTCCACCCCTCCCAAGACTCCAGATATCAAGGACAGACATTGGGCAATGGCCTCTAAATCAACTTTGATTTTTTTGATACAAGTCAACTTTGATTTAAACTCTTAAGAGTTCAACTATGGTGCATTTACAGATATTTGTTATATGTTAAATTGAGATTTTAACCAATTATGTTAAAGATGTCACATGATCTATTTACTTTTCATTGGTTCATATTTCACAATGTAAACTTACCATCAAGAATAACAACGTTAAAGATGTCAGTTGTAATGTGTCATTTTATCACTGGTTTATGTTTTTTGTGTCATGGCGCAATTCATGCACCTTAGATTTTGCCAACTATTAATGGTTATGTAAAATTTCTGTGCATATAATGCAAGGTGACCTAATTTTTGTTTTTTCCTCATATATATGCATGAAAATTTGCATCAAGTTGGAGTGCAAACAATAGATGGGCAAATCCGGACTAGGTGCAAATTTTGCATCCTGTTCAGATTTGCTCTGCAACCAAAAAGATGTCATGTAACCGCCTGAAGCAGGGGAATATTCCAACCGTTAGCACCTGACCTCCGGACAACCACTTCAATCATGGGCGATCAGGACCCATTCATTCTGTTATGATTTGTGCTGAGGTGTCAACCTCTGTAACCGCCTGCAGGCTTTAAATAGAGACGTTTGAATAAAGGACACCATCTTGAATCCAAATTTCTTTGAGTTTAGTTCTCTTTTGGGCTACGACATCTTCCCCTTCGAGCGGTGTTTTCACCATAACTCGGGGAAACCCTAAACTCTCTTCTCGACAACGAGAATAGGTACATAACATAGTGGTATCAGAGCAGGCGACCCAGCGGGATGCACAGATGTCTGGTATGGAAGAATGGCTTAGTGGGGTGGAGCGGTCTCAGGAAGCTCTGCAGAAGATGCAGGAGGCGATACTACACCAGCTTGCTAAAATCACCGATCGCTTGAATAGGGTTCCCCACCGTATCGAGTCACCAGAGGCTTTGCTTTAACTGTGACGAGCAATACGTCCCGGGCCATCGGTGCAAAAAACAGAAGTTATTTTGGATTGTAGTTGAGGAAGAGGAAGATCAGGGGGAAGAAGAAGACCGGGAGGCCGAACTTGAGGCAGAGATATCCCTGAATGCCATTAACAGGATGGAGTCGCCACAAACCATGCGAATTCAAGGTACTCTCGGCACTCACCCTGTTACTATACTGATTGATTGTGGGTCTACCAACAATTTCTTAGACCTAAGGGTAGCCGAGAAGGCTAGAGTTCCTCTGACAGTGGACTCCGGATTTGCAGTGATTGTGGCCAGCGGGGAAAAATTAAGAGGAGCAGGAAGGTGTGATGAAGTTCCAATCAAAACTCAGGGGATTCTGCTGCAAGTAGACTTCTATCTACTACCGTTACCAGGGGTCGATGCGATACTGGGGGCGCAATGGTTGCAGACTTTGGGGGAGGTCACTTGGAACTTCTCAACGATGACCCTTATCTTTCAGAATGAGCAAGAAAATCTACAGGGGATGAAGAAAGAAATTATCCGAACTAGCTAACTATACTTGTTACAGGTGAACTAGCTAACTATACTTGTTACAGGTGGTGAAGGACCCGATTGGGAAAACTGAATTTCCGGTTGGGCCAATCAGACTGGGCATCCAACAATTACTCCGGGATTATGCAGATGTTTTCACCGACCCACAGAACCTTCCCCCACGCAGGAGATGTGATCCTGCAATAGCACTTGCAGAAGGGTCCGGGCTAGTTTACTAGAAGCCGTATCGATACCCCCACTACCAAAAGGGGGAAATCGAAAGATTAGTTCGGGAATTGCTAGAGCGAGTTGCTATAAGACCCAATAACAACCCTTTTGCATCACCGGTCTTGCTGGTTAAGAAGAAGGATGGGGGATGGAGCTTATGCATCGATTACTGGCGGCTGAACCAAGTGACAATCAAAGATAAGTATCCCATGCCTGTCATCGATGAATTGCTAGATGAGCTTCGCAGATTTTTTCCAAGCTGGATCTCCGCTCCGGGTGTCACCAAATCTGTATCAAGGAAGAGGATATTGCCAAAACAGCCTTCTGGACGAAGGCCACTATGAGTTCTTAGTTATGCCTTTTGGGCTTATTAATGGCCCGTCCACCTTTCAGGCATTAATGAATGACGTATTCCGGGGATTACTGAGGAGATCCGTGTTAGTGTTTTTGGACGACATTCTAATTTAAAGTAAGACTGAAGCAGAACACTGGGGACACCTTAAGGAGGTCTTGGAGTGACTGCGGTGCCATCAGTTGTATGCCAAGCCGAGTAAGTGTTCATTTGGAGTAAATAGAGTAAATTATTTGGGCCACGTAATATCTGGTGCAGGGGTAGAAGTGGATCCAGAGAAAGTAGGATGTATGCAGTCCTGGCCACGACCGACTAACATCACGAAGCTTAGGGGATTCTTGGGGTTGACAGGATATTACCGAAAGTTCGTCTAGAACTACGGGAAGATTGCCAAGCCGCTTACTGATTTGTTGAAGAAAGGAGCTTGGGGATGGGGCGAGCAGGCAGAGAGGGCTTTCCTCGCCCTTAAAAGAGCAGTAACCATCACTCCAGTTTTGGCACTACCCAATTTTGTTTTACCTTTTGTCAGACTGCAATGCCAGCGGGATAAGCATCGGGGCGGTGTTATCCCAAGCAGGAGGGCTGGTTGCTTACTTCAGCTAGGATCTCGGCCCCCGAAATTTAGCCATGTCCACTTATGACAAAGAGCTCCTGGCAGTGGTAACAGCTGTACAGAAGTCGTGCCCTTACTTACTGGGTCAAAAATTTGTTGTTAGCTCCGATCATCAGAGCCTGAAGTTCCTTCTGGGGCAGCGGGCAACCACACCTCTCCAACAAAAATTACAAAGTAAGCTTATTGGCTATGATTTCGAAATTCAATACCAGAAAGGGAGAGACAACTTGGCTGCCGATGCCTTATCTCGACGCAGTCATGGAGAGCTGTCGGCCATCTCTGGGCCGGTGGCAGATTGGGTTGCTGACTTACGAAGAGAAGTAGAGGGTGACCCGGAAATGCAGGCTTTGAGAAGGAAAATCGAAAACAGGGGAGAAGATAAGGGAAAATATAAGGTCAGGAATGGTTTGATTTGGAAGGATGGTAGAAGGGTGATACCACAGGAATCCGCACTCAGATGATGTCTGTTTCATGAGCTGCATAACTCTCCAGGAGGTGACATGAATATCAGAAACATAAGAAAATATTCAAGAACAAGATCAAAGCAAACATGGATGTAGAGGAGCACCAAAGAAGAAATGAAACTGCATCTGTGTTTTTTTTTTTAATCAGCTCCACAGTACAACTATAAATAGATGCAGGATAACCGACTAACTAACAAGAAAGTGACGACTAGGACTAACCACTGTAACTACCTCTAATATCTGACTGGCACTGTATAAACTGAAACAACAACTAACTAACTATTACAATTGTACATAATATTCTTCATCCCCCTTCAAGTTGGAGGTTGATGAGGATCAAAAAGCCCCAACTTGGATAGTAAAAGAGCAAACTGTGGAGTTGCTAAATACTTCGTAAAAAAGTCAGTAAGTTGCAACTTGGATGGAATATACGAAGGAAGCACAAAACCATCCTTACTGCTCACGAACAAGGTGACAATCGATCTTCAAATGCTTTGTCCGTTCATGGAAAACAGGGTTCGCAACAATATGCAAGGCAGCTTGATTGTCACACCACAATCTAATAGGCAACTGAACAGGTATACAAAGATCACAGAGGATATAATGGATCCATTGAAGTTCACAAACGGTAGATGCTAAGCTGTGATATTCAGCCCCGGTGGAGGAACGGGACACCATGGCTTGCTTCTTACTATTTCAAGATATCAAGGAAGGACCTAAGAAGATACAATATCCTGTTAAGGACCGACGAGTATCAGCACAAGATGCCCAATCAGCATCACAATAGCCTTCCAACTTAAGTGTATTACCAGTGGGGAAAAAAAGACCCTTGGAAGGAGAATCTTTCAAATATTTGAGTATATGTAATGCAGCTTTCCAGTGAGAATCACACGGGTTCTATACAAATTAACTAAGTTGTTGTGTTGCATAAGTGATATCCAGTCGTGTGAAACCCAAATACAATAATCTCCCAATCAATTTGCAAAATTTATCAGGTTCTGCAAATGGAGTATCCTGTTGTTGTGTTAACTTCTGTGTTCTCGGCAATGGAGTACTTGCGGGTTTAGCACCAATCATCCCTGTATCAATAAGCAAGTCAAGAGTATACTTGTGTTGATTCACATATGTTCCTCGTCGTGATCGACATATTTCAAGACCCAAAAAATATTTTGTAGGACCAATATCTTTAATCGTAAATTCATTGTGCAGAAACTGTTCCATAGAGGTAATACTGCTCTTGGAACTACTAGTGACAAGAATATCATCCACGTAAACTAACAAAATAATGAACTCAGAATCTGACTTCTTACAAACAAGCAATGGTCATGTGTGGATTGCCAAAAACCAACCTGCAGAAGCTTAGATGTCAGCTCAAAATTCCATTGTCGAGAGGCTTGTTTCAAGCCATATAAAGATCGTTTTAATTTGCACACTTGACCTACTGCAGCCTTAAGATATCCAGGTGGGGAAGACATATACACATCTTCATTGAAATAACCATGTAAAAATGCATTGTTGGTATCCAATTGATGCAAAGGCTATTGATTAGCTGCGGCCAAAGCCAAAACAATTCGAACTATGACAGGTTTCGCAACAGGAGAAAAAAGTATCCACATATCAATTCCAGTTACTTGATTATACCCCTTCGCCACTAAATAAGCCTTATATCGATCAATTGTGCCATCCGGTTTAAGTTTCAATTTGTACACCCATTGGCAACCGATGGCCTTTTTACCATTAGGCAACTCAGTTAACTACCATGTATCATTCCTTTTTAAGGCATCAAGCTCAACATCCATTGCTTTAACCCATTCTAGACTGAGTTTAGCCTCATCATAAGAACATGGCTCTCGAGCAATAGAGACATTAGCTAAATAAGTCAAATATGTGGGAGAAAAAATCACAAATTTAACAAAAGGATAAGTTGGTGGGATATGTGGGGATGACAAATGAATTGAATTGGAAACATAGTCCTGCAGCCAGTTAGGTGGTTTCTTAGGTCTAGAGCTGTGGCGGATAAGAGGTTGTGTGGAAGGAGATGGCTACAGTATGGGAGCAGAAATATTAGAATCAGATAAAGGCTGATT